AAACCATGTCCCTGCAGTGACCACCCCTCCCTCCCAGGACAATTACAGACCTAGGTTGGTTCACACAAGTTCCGGTTGAAGAACCGGGATGTACTATTGGGTTTCTGGAAGAGCAAGAAGGGGATGCAAAGGTGGTGGTGAAATTGCTAAAGTGACGGGGAAAGGCTAATAAATGTAAAAATTACCAAATGACATCAGATCTCTCTTTCTGATTGACTGGTAACACTGCATCACACCCTTCTGCAGACAGTCCTCAGTTGACATTCTTGGCCTTTCCCTGGCAGCCCCATGACACAATGACATTTGCATCAGTGTAGCTCATGGCTAGTGGCGGGAGCCTGGAAAGGTTGGGAAGCTGCCCAGGGCCCACAAATGTGCAAAGCCAAGCTCCAGACCCAGGGCAATCTCCAAGCCCCCAGAGAGCAACACAAGGAGTGGACTGCAGGTTGCAGAATTAAAACAGCAGCAAGCTGTTGCCAGGTGAGAAGCAGGTAAAAGTCATATTGGAAATCTCCTGCTTCCCATTCTTGCCCAAAGGGGGGGGGGGGAATTCAGAGGTGGCTCTGGCCTAGATCAGTCAGAAAAAAGTACCAATAGCTAAACAAGTAGATACAAAGCTGTGTGCACCAGTCAGGCTGCTAAGAAGTTAAATGTCTGTGTCTGACAATCGTTGCTTCAAAGTGCTATTTAATGTTGCCCTCTGTAAATATGAGCCCTGTGTTTGGCCTTTTACTGATATTGTGAAGTTTACCTTTGGAGTTCAGATGTAAATAATCCCTCTCTTGTGACTTATGACTCCTCTCTCTGTGCATTATTACACAAAAGCCTCTATTTTTGTTCTGTACGCTACTATCACCTTTTTAAAACGACAGAGAGAATTCGACAGGCAATTCGTTTTCTTGATGGTTGTTTTCCTTTGCAATTTTATATCTTCCTTTTTTGTATTGTACTTTGGTTTTTAAAAATCTTTGAAAACCTGTCGTCTTCAAAAGAATTTTACACATCGGCAGCTGAGCCCTTCCGAATGGTGTTGCTTTGCAAGTTTGCTAATGCTGCATGTCGCTACGTACAGGCGATTGTATATGCTCTTCTTCTCCAGGTAATGCATATTGCAGTATTAAAGCAATTGTGCTCAGCTGAGAGGGAGATGTTGGCTCTCTTTGGGATGTAAAAGTTTAGGCCAAGCAAGACACTGCTAAATAAATGCTACTGTCTCCTCTGATTGTTTGGGGTTGGGGGGGGGGGAACCCACACAAATAAACTTCCACCAGATCACTGAAAGCCTTTCAGAAATCTCTTGTATTTAATAAGAAAGCATCCACAAAGACTGAAAATCAGAGGTCTGTGAGTCTGTTATGGTGGTTCTATCACTTGGAGTACACCATTGGAAGGTTGTGGATTCAAAGCCCCTCTGCTTCCATAGTCAGGGCAAGATGGGTTCCTTGCTTCTGGAAAACGTCATTCTTACAGGGTTTGACCAATTCACGAAGAAGAGCTCTATCAGTTGAACCTCCATATTCGGAGGCACTGTACCTCTGAGAATCAGATGCTGGAGCCAAATAGCAACGGGGGGGGGGATTGATCAGCCAGGGTTTGAAATAGAATACAGGTCTATAGAGGAATCTACCTATTAAAGCAAAGTAATGCCTGTGTCCTATGAACATGTGTCTGGGGCAGAAGCTCCATCCCCACACTCATCTGGACCTATGGAGGCTCTGGGCCCTGCAGCAGGATGAAGCAACTACGGCAAGCCCCCAGGGAAAACCCTGCACAAGAACAGGCAAGGAAGAGCCAAGTAGACTTCAAAACAGGGAGGCATAGAAGGGAGACTTCCTGGGCCAGCCACAACTTCCATGTAGCCCAGAGAGGAGATTAGGCTCTGCTACTGGGCTGCCCCTGCAGACAGCCCCACAGATGAGACCAGCAGTAAACCCACTCCTTTCAAACCAGCAGAGAGGCCCTTTAAGGTAACAGGTGGTGCAGAAAGGTAAGGCCTGTGTATAGATCCCACCTACCTCTGTTATTCACTCCTAGCAGGAGCACACCTCCTTTCATGGGGCTTTAAAGAAGCCCAGGGCTGCACCACCCTCAGGAAATCCTTTAAAAGGCAGGAAGCAGGGTAACCAGGGAGGAAGAGTGGAATCTCTCCTGCAGCAGTAGGGGAAAGGTGAGGTAACTTAAGTCCAAATGCCCCTCCTCTTACAGGTCAGAGACTTTCCTGTAGCCCAGCCCAAAATTATGTTAGAGGGTGCTCCAGCCCACCACAGATGGAGTCTCACAATGTGCACCTGCTTTATACTGAGTTAGACCGTTAGCCTATCACAGTAGTACTGTCTACTCTGACTGGTAGCAGCTCTTCAGGAATTCAAGTGGAGATCTTTTGCATCACTTGATTCCTTTACTTGGACATGCTGAAGATTGCACCTGGCAGTTTCCACATGCAAAGCAGGTGCCCTACTAGAGATGACAGATTTGCCAAAGTCCACAGAAGATTTCGAAATTTTTACACTGAAAAAATGGGGGACGTGGCTCAAAATTGTTCTATCTTTTCCCTTAGGCCTTCACATCTCTCTGTTCTACCACCAAGTCACGCCCCTTCCCTGTGCAACTTGTGACCAAACACAGCCCTCCAGAGCCTTCTGCCTGGCTACCCAGGATTGCAAAAACAAGAAAGCTGTCAGGCACCTGGAAAGAGCCAATGCATGGTTGGGTGGCTGAGTTTGACCTGTTGGGTTGTATTGGACAGGCCAGTGGTACTTCCATAGTGAGCATAAGCAGATGTTTTCTCTGCTGTATGTGTGTATGCCTGTCTTCATTCCTCTTGGACAGTCCCAGGCCAGCTTCACTTACCATTTTTAAAAACAGGGCTAGGCTGTTGCTCTCAGCTACTTGGAACTGTAGGTTGACCATCTGTTGAGAGCTGGTATGGAGAATCTCACTCTACAGGAAGACTGAGTGCTCAAGGAATCCTGGCAAGCTGTTCCCTAACTAGGCTTAGCAGCCTCTTGATTTTATTTATTTTATTATTTATTTATAATTCAATTTATATCCCACCCTCCCCAAACGGGCTCAGGGCGGCTAACAAATTAGCACCAGGCCATGATTAAAACAACTAACAATTAGGGTGCAAAGCCATGATTAAAACACAAGATAAAACAATCCAATACTGTACTAAAGTGCCGGTGCTCTAGATGTTCCTACTGTCCTCAATTCCAAGATGGGTTCTGGTAAAAATTTAAGCCCAGAACAACAGCATAAGTTCCATAGAGGTACTGCCATCCAATCTTCGTTCCAGGGCCGCCTTGCACCCTGATGGTTCCCACCTAAATCATGGTGGCGGTGCGTTGATGGTACAATGGCGGCGGCAGCTCCTACTCAAAAGCCTGGCGGAATGTCTTGGGCCAGCCCAGCAAAATGCTACCCCTTCTCTAGAAAAAATAAAACACGCACATAATTACAACAAATAATAACAACAAAATAGCTACTAATAAAAATTACTCGTGGCTTTTTATCTCCACTTATAGTCAGCCAACACAACCAGGAAAATGAGACACTACTTACAAAAAGTGTACAGGCTCACACTTTGATGAAACTCCAGGGAAAGGGCAGTTCTACAGCCAAATTTTCTGCATGCCCTTATTGTCTACACATGGGGCATGGGTGGTATGGCCAAGAATACATTCTCAGCTGATCTTGACAGTTGCGACGGCTCAGAGGTATTAACACTGACAACGGCTAAATATTCTCAAGCCATTTTATGCAACAGTTCCTAGGGGTGCCAACCTCCAAGTGGGGCCTGGAGATCTCCCAGAATTACAGTTGATCTATAGGCAACAAAAACGGTGAGGTCCTTCCCCTCCCCAAACCCCACCCTCCACAGGCTCCATCCACAGACCTCCAGGAATCTGCCAATCCCTGTAACCCTATATAGATCAAAATCTGGTGAAGACAAACCAGAGAACTGGGGTAGATGCTGAAGCACTAATTTAACACACACATTTATTTATAATAACTAAGCTCTCTGTTGATTTTTTTTTTAATCAGTTGATTTATCTTCTGATTCTTAACTATTTTACCGATGAATTGATTAAATAGGAAGAAAGCTGCATTATATTAAAATTCAATGTAGATTATTCTGGAAATATTGAAGGAAATGTTACAGCTTAATGTTTTATAAAAATCATCATTTCACTGTTAGAAAGAAACACTTTATATGTTTTCTGTTTTAAATTCATGAATCAAAATAACCTTAAAATAAACTGCTCCTAAGAATGTGGTTGCATCCACACAGCACCCCCACCAATTAAATTTTAGGCCAGTGAATTTTTAAATAAAGGCTGAAGTCACACACACCTTGTAAAGTCATGAAGGTAGGGTTGCCAGGTCTGGGTTGGAAAATACCTAGAGAATTTGGGGGTGGATCCAGGAGAGGGTGGGGTTTGGGGAGGGGAGAGGCCTCAGTATGGTACATAGAATCCACCCTTCAAAGCAGTCATTTTCTCCAGGGGAGCTGATCTCTGTCAGGTGGGGATCAGTTGTAAAAGCGGGAGATCTCCAGGCCCCACCTGGCAACCCTACGAAAGTCAGAACGCATTTGGAAAATCCACTTTCCAATATTGGGCCATCAATAACTTCAGAAAAGCCATACAAGCTCAACTGTCTTTCAATGTTGAAGCGCATGCCAAGTACATGTGAATCCATGCCTAAATGTGTATGGGAGACTACTAAATACGCCTCTTTTTAAAAATGCAAACTTAATTTTTAAAAAATATAACTGATGAGAGAAAAACGGGGGGGGAGCTTCTTTGTTTGATGCCAGAGAAAGCCTCGTCCTGAAGTTCCGACGCGCGTTACTCGAACAGGGGAGCCCTGGGTCTTCTCTTAATAGGTATCTTCAAGTAGCCGCTCGCGGATTGGTCAGAGGCTGGTCCAAACATATCGGAAAGGCCAATCCCAGGGGCGGAACTGAAGTTGACGAATGCAATGTTTCCAGTCGGATCGAAGGTAAGCGGACCGCCGGGCCGGAAGTCCGTTAAGTGGTCGAGGGGAGCGGTATCGGTTGCGTCGACTTCGAAGAGCCGGGATGGGCCGAAGCCGTTCTAGGTCGCCGCCTCGCAGGGGTGAGTAGTAGAGGACGCTACAGCAGGTCTTGGTACCACACAGAAGAATAGAGCTCGTTTCCTGGCTGCTTCTTCTGTAGAAGTGAGCTTCTTCGGCCTCTCTTCTCTCAGTGTGGGGCTCTTTCTAGGCTCTTTTCCCCTGCCTGTACAGCCGCTTTTGTTCCCCACCCCACCGTCAGTTGCAGGTTGTAAGCTCCTTGTGGCAATACGGTAGGCTGCTTCTGCTGTGCAGCTTTTTCCAAACCTCATGCGTCCTTAAGTGCTGCATACATCAGAAAACGTCCACTTGGAAGCCAACGTAACTCTCAGGTTAACTTTCATCATAAGTCTGTTGTAATAATAAAGGGGAGGGGGCATGCTACATTAATAGTTTTCCTAGACCACCTTGGAACAAGCAGGGTGTGGAATGCAAAACTGGACAGCTATCATACTCCCAGAGAGGGAAATGTGCCTCCTTGCTTTAACTTACAAAAGCTAGTGAAGAAGAAAATTACTATACTTTGCTTTTGAGCAGCCTGTAAAGGCATAAATATTTTAATGTAAGTGTTCAGATGAGGTTTAAAACATTTGTGATAAATTGAAATTCGTTCATGAAAGAAGAAAAAGAGTTGGTTTTTATACCCTGCTTTTCTCTGTCTTAAGGAGTCTTAAAGCAGCTTACAATCACCTTCCCTTCCTCTTCCCACAACAGTAACTTGTGAAGTAGATGGGGCTGAGAGAGTTCTGAGAGAATTGTGACTGGCCCAAGGTCACCCAGCAGGCTTCATGTGGAGGAGTGAGGAATCAAACCCAGTATTCCAGATTAGAGTCTGACACTCTTAAACACTTTGCCATGCTAAATATCCAATACCAGTAATTATGGATAGGAAACTGTGTTTTAATCAGTTAACTGAAAAGTAGTCATGAGGCAAGCTCGTTTTTGAAGGGTTTCAGTCTGGGTTATTGTAGAAATGACCCAAAGTGATAGGGAATCAAGCTTTTTTAACGAGGTTTTTGTCTCTCCTTGTTATCCCGTTCCATAATTTTTCTTCTTTCATTCTGCAAAGAACGTCGGCGCTCTAGATCCACTTCACGAGAGAGAGAGAGGAGGCGGCGGGAACGGTCAAGGTCCCGGGAGAGAGAAAGGAGGAGAAGTCGTTCCCGTTCACCACACAGGAGACGATCGAGGTGAGAAGGTGACATCTGATAGTAGTGCTGAGTATCTGGTTAACCTGTTCTGTAAGGCAAATGACTAATTCCTCACAGCTGATGTTTGTCTTGTAGGCAGTATGCATGTAGATAGAGCAGGCTAATAACTCTTGCCATTAGAAACCTCGGGGAAGGATGATTGGGTATGGTTACCTAGCAAAGGTGCATGAATGCTCATGTCCGCTCAGGCAGCTGGGATACATGTTTGCCTAGGGGAGGGAAAAGTCTTTTTCTTTCCCATTTCATAGTAATCTTCACTGTATTGACTGCTTTCCTACCTACCATCTCCAACAGCTTTGCTGTGCAATGTCTGGCAAAGAGGAAGAGGGGCTGTTCAGGGATTAGCATTGGTAAGGAAGGATATTTTCTAGCAGCTAGAAAATTCCTGTGCGGGGCTTGGCTGAGCAATTGGGGTTCTGTTCTAACATTATGAGTTATTTGTTGTAATTTTTACCCTACTTCGCAACTAAAAATGTGCATTCTTTAACAGTTTGCAGCAATTAAAAATAAATACACATTTCAGATAATATAGAACATCAGTGAGATCTTGGTGCACATATAATGAAGAGTGCCTGGCTGCTGCTGCCTATTCTCTTTTGGCTTCAATGACAGCTGGAAGGAGGAGGGCCGCACAGCTACAAAGAAGGTACTTGGTTACAGCTTCTCCATCTGGCTTAGGCAACAGATAACAATCCACCTGTGCATGTTACACAGTGCACTGTTGTCTGGGTTCAAATCCTTGTTTACTGAGATGAGTAACCTGGAGCAGGTTGCTGTCACCCAGCATAAATTGACATTCAGTAGTGTTAGGATAACACATTGGATAACATATTGTGATCTTCCCCAAGCTTTTTGTGTATGCATGTGTATGCCCATCCTGTCCAACACTCTGTCACACAGTGGCCAAAAATACTAGATGCTATCAGGAGGTCCACCAGTGGGGCCAGGACACTAAAAGCTCTCCCACTGCTGCCCCCCCCCCAGCACCAAGAATACAGAGCATCACTTGCCCCAGACTGAGAGTTCCTATCTATACCTTGTGGCTAAAAGCCTCTGATGGACCTCTGCTCCATGTTTATCTAATTCCCTCTTGAAGCAGTCCATGCTTGTAGCCGCCACCACCTCCTGTGGCAGTGAATTCCATGTGTTAATCACTCTTTGGGTGAAGAAGCACTTCCTTTTATCTGTTCTAACCCGACTGCTCAGCAATTTCATTGAGTGCCCACAAGTTCTTGTATTGTGAGAAAGGGAGAAAAGTACTTCTTTCTCAACCTACTGTATCCCATGCATAATCTTATAAATCGATCATGTCACCCCTCAGCCGTCGTTTCTCCAAGCTAAAGAGCCCCAAGCGCTTTAACCTTTCTTCATAGGGAAAGTATTCCAACCCTTTTATCATTCTTGTTGCCCTTTTCTGCACTTTTCCCAATGCTATAATATCCTTTTTAAGGTGTGGTGACCAGAACTGTACACAGTATTCCAAATGAGTTCGCACCATTGATTTATACAGGGGCATTATGATACTGGCTGATTTGTTTTCAGTTCCCTTCCTAATAATCCCCAGCATAGCTTTGGCCTTTTTTAATTGCAGTTGCACACTGTCTTGACAGTTTCAGTGAGTTATCTACTACGACGCCAAGATCTCTCTCTTGGTCAGTCTCTGCCAGTTCAGACCCCATCAACGTGCATTTATAGTTAGGATTTTGGGTTCCAGTGTGCATCACTTTGCACTTGGCTACATTAAACCCCATTTGCCACATTGATGCCCACTCGACAATCCTCAACAGATCCCTTTGGAATGCCTCACAATCCTCCCTGGTTTTCACCACCCTTGGACAACTTAGTGTCATCTGCAAATTTAGCCATTTCACTGCTTACTCCCAACTCCAAATAATTAATGAACAAGTTAAAAAGCATCGGACTGAGTACTGATCCCTGTGGTACCCCACTGCTTACCACCCTCCACTGAGAAAATTGCCCGTTTATACTCACTCTGTTTCCTATTAATTAGCCAGTTTTTTATCCACAAAAGGACTTGTCCTTTTATCCCGTGACTATTGAGCTTACTTAGGAGCCTTTGATGAGGAACTTTGTCAGACTCCTGCAGCAGTCAGTTCCCAACAGCTTTCATTCAAAGAAGTAAAGTTTATTAAGACTTTAAGAACGTGCAGATATCTTAACCATTTCATGTTAGAACTAAAATAAAGCGCACAAAGCAAACAGTTATACATTGTTCAGAGAGGCCCCCTGATGGTCCATGGCCAATCAGGGACCAGGTAGAAGCCCGCCAAAGTAACGGGCTACTTTTCCCAAGAGAAATAATATACCCGGCACTGAAGGTCAGACAGAGATAACAGAAACATGGAAGACACAACAGAATTAAAGCTTAACATTCCAGAGTCATCTCCACTCCCATGGCAGCCAGGGCTCAAGAGAGGCTTAGCTGACATTCTGCCTCCCCAAAGACTTCACCCACCAGGCTTTTTTGGATACCTTTTGTGAAATGCACGCACAAGTTTAGGGGCATTGACATGAAAGTCCTGCACGCATTCATTATGAGAGGGGTCAAAGTCCTTCCATTTAATGAGATAGTAAAGGCTGCCATGCTTCAGCTTGGAATCCAAAATCTCTTCCACCTCTTGGTGAGGTTCACCATTCATCATCAGAGGTGGAGGGGCTGGTGGTTGCAGTCTCCATTTGTTTGGATCCAGGTCCCATTTCAGCAGACTGAAATGAAATACAGGGTGCACATCTTTAAGGGATTTAGGTAAATCAAGTTCCACCGCAACGTCCCCCACTTTACATATCACAGTAAAAGGACCAACATATTTCCAGCCCAATTTCCTTTGGGGCTGGAGCCCTTCAAGTGTTTAGTAGATAAGTACATCAAGACCCCAGCCTGTAAATCTCACTCAGGGGCTTGCCCTTTATCAGCTTGGACTTTGTAATCCACTTTGGCTTTATCAAGAGTCTTTTGGATGACAGACTATTGGTCCTTTAAGTCCTGCCACCAAATCTGGAGGTCCCCAGGCCCAGGTTCTGGAGTACCCATAGGGGGCAAGGTGATGCCCTCATATCCATGCATCACTTTGAAAGGAGACAGTCCAGTGGAACAGTGCACCGAATTATTATAACTGTATTCTGCATAAGACAACAGTTCAGCCCAGTTATCCTGCTGGTAGTTGGTAAAGCAGTGCAAGAACTGCTCAACAATTTGATTGACTCGTTCAGTTTGTTCATCAGTCTCTGGGTGATGGGCACTACTAAGCCCCCTTGTAATCCCCCAAACCTGCAAGAGTTCTTTCCAAAACTTGGCCATGAACAAGTTTTCTGTCGAATATTATTTTACTGGGCACCGAATGCAACCACACAATGTGGTGCATAAACAATTTAGCCAGGGCTTTGGCAGTTGCTTGCACGGAATGAAGTGAGCCTGTTTAGAAAACAAATCCACTACAACCCAGATCACAGTATATCCTTTACTGGGTGGTAGGTCAGTAATGAAATCCATGGAGATAACTTCCCAGGGGTGACTAGGGGTTTCCAAAGGTCTCAGAGTCCCTGGGGGCTTCCCAGGATGTCTTTTTCCCATCAAACAAGTCTGGCATGATCCCACATATTGAGAAATGTCCGCACACATGTGCGGCCACCAAAACTGGTACTGCAATAGATATAAAGTCTTTAAATATCCATAATGTCTAGCTAGTTTAGATTTGTGACCAAAATGCAACACCTCGCCCCTCAGACCATGTGGTACAATGAGCCTGCTCCCCCATACCAACAGCCATCTGGGGTTTTCTGGATGGAAGAGTCTTTAGCAATTTCCTCCCTATCTGCTTCTGTAAGGGCTTCTTTAAACTTAGTAATCCACAGGTCTTCCCCCCCCCCTTTTCAGCCACGGTGTGACTCCATGTCACCACCGCTCCACCCAGCTGGGAGGGCGTGAACATAGAGTCTACTACCTCCTCCCTTTGACTGGCATGTTGGGGGAGGCGTGACAGGGTGTCAGCCAAGAAATTTGACTTTCCAGGGAGGTGCTAGAGGGTGGAATGAAACTTGGAGAAAAACTCTGCCTACCGAAGTTGCTTGGCGTTGAGGTTACGGGGTGTGTGCAAGGCTTCCGAGTTTTTATGATCTGTCTATACTTCAAAAGGCACCCTAGCCCCCTCTAACCAGTGTCTCCAGGTGGTAAGGGCTAGCTTTATAGCAGTTGCCTCCTTGTCCCAAACCACCCAATTGCACTCGGTAGAATTTGATTTCTTAGACACGTATGCCGGGGGTGGAGTTTACCGTCCTCTTCCTTTTGCAGGATGCCCCCTCCCCCGGCTACATCTGAGGCATCGACTTGAACTACAAACATTTTATTTTCATCGGGGTGATATAAAATGGGCACAGAGGTAAATAGCTTTTTCAGTGTCTCAAAGGCTTGTTGGCACTCTGGCGTCCAGTTTAGCTTAGCTCCCAGCTTAGTGTTGTCTTGCCCCTTCCTCTTAGTCTTTAATAGGTCCGTAAAGGGTAAACTCACTTGAGCGAAGTTGAGGATGAAGGGGCAGTAGAAGTTTGTGAATCCCAAGAAGGACTGGAGTTGCCTCCAGGTGCGAGGGGCCTCCCAACTCAGCACGTCTGCAACCTTGTGTGGGTCCATTCCCATCCCCTCCCCAGAGATGCAGTAGCTCAGAAAACTTCACTTTTGTGGAACTTTCATTTAGAAAGTTTAGCAAACATCCGGTGTTCATACAGGGTCTCCAGTACCTCCCTCACCAGAGTCACGAGGGAAGCCTTATCAGGCAAATAGATCAAGATATCAAGATAAACTAGGACCCCCTTGAATAGGTGCTTGTGCAACACTTTGTTGATCAAGTTCATAAAGACCCCAGGAGCCCCCGCCAATCCAAATGGCATAACCAAGTATTCAAGCTGTCCCAATGGTGTATTGAAAGCTGCTTTGTGCTCATCCCCCTCCTGTATATGCATATGGAAATAAGCATCTCTCAAATCCAGTTTGGTGAACACTTTGCCCCTTGAGGCCTCGGTCAAGAGGTCTTTGATCAAAGGGAGGGGGGTATACATTTGTGGTGGATACAGCGTTTAAACCCTGGTAATCCGTACAGAGTCTCAATCCCCCATCTTTCTTTTTCCGGAAGAGTACGGGGGCTGCAAAAGGTAAAGAGGCCGGCCGGATGAACCCCTGCGCTAGGTTTTTATCTATGAACTTTCGTAACTCCTCTTTCTCGGCCGGGCTCAACGCATACAACTTTCCCTTTGGCATTTTATGCCCGAGCAGAGGAGCCTGGTGAGGGGCGGGGGGGGGGGGGGGGGAGAGCTCATCTGCTTTGTCTTTCTCAAAAACCCGGGCTAGGTCTCTGAGCCAAACACGCCCACTCCGGTAGAGCGGAGCCCCATCCCCATGACCACCGACACAGGAGCCATCCATTTGCGTGAAAACCAGTGGCTTGGGGAGGGGTTGTACTGGAACCCCCAGCCTTATAACTATGGTCAGACTAATTAAGTCCCTTGTACACCCAGAGTCAATTAGGGCTCTCACCCTTATTTGTGTACCCATCTCTGGATTCACTACTGACACAGTCATGAAAAATGGGTGGGGGGAGTTGCTCACCGAACATGGTGCCAACTGATTTTGGACCTTCTGGTTTGCACCTCTTACAGCAGGTCCCAGCCTTTTCCCGCCAGTGGGGTGGTCTCGTCTCCGCTGGATGAAGCCCCGTCCAAGGCAGCGTTCAGTTGAAGGGCTCTTGACTGCTTGGGTCGCATCCCTCCTGGCTTTTGTGGTGTCTCTGGACTCTGCTTCTCTGGGGCCTTCTCTCCAGGAGGTGGCAAGTTGGCCCCACGGCACAGGCACCTTCATGTGCCAATCGCCCATGGACTCTTTAGCCTTGGAATGTTGGCCTTTACCTTCACCCCCCAGTGACCTCAGAGCCAACTTAGCCGTATACATCTTGATCATGTTGAGTTGGTTTTCCGCATCCCTGGCCTCTTGGATCCCACCAGCTAGGGTCAACAGGTTGGTGGAGTTGAGGACCCACTCCAGGATCTGGTGATTGAGACCGATACGATATTGCTCAATCAGGACCTCTTCAGGCCATCCCTGAACCTTAGCCGTGTACATTTTGAATTCATCAGAGAATTCATGTACTGTCCTATTTCCTTGTCTCAAGGCTCGCAGGCAGGTTCGCACCTTCTCCAATTCCAGTGGGTCTTCATATTGCCTTTGTAGGGCCCACATGAAAGCCATCACATCACGGAGCTTGGGTCCTCTAATGTCTTTAATAGGTCTGTGTCAGCTGCTCGTTCCTGTAGGCGCGACCCGATATGGTCTACTCAGTGTTTATCCATAGTGAACCGGGGACCCTAGTCCCTTAGGAATTTGTGCACTTGCAGCAGGAAGAAGGCGAGCTTGTCGGGGTCTCCGTTGAAGGTAGCATCCAAAATTTCATGAGATCGCTCAGACCCAGTCACCGGCGCCAGAAGCACAGGGGGACCCAGCGGCCCAGCTGGCTGCTGATCGTCTGGGCCCCCCCTGGAAGGTTAACAGGAATGGGGACACTTCCCATCTGGTCCTTCGCCAGTGTCCCATTGCACGGCTGTTCTTTCCCATTTCCACCTTCCCCATCTGGCAGGAGGGTACGCACCTCACGCCTCACAGCATCCATGATGAGTTGGGGGATGTCAAACACCATCTCTTGTGTATCCCGGCGTAACTCTTCATGCTGTGCTGGGAGTTTTCACCTCACCCACTCAACTTGCATTTCCTCAATCTTGGCCGCTTTCCCGTAATCCTTCTCATAATCTTCCAGGTAACGTCTGCCATAGTGTCGTCCGTAGGTAGGTAACTTCGAGTTAGGAGTTATCATCCAGCTCTCTTCAGTGCAGCTTGGGGCATAGGACCAGGAGTAAGACCCTTGCCAGAATTTTCCCAATCTACCTGGTTTACCACCTGCCGGTGGTAGTAACAGCTACGCTCTTGGTGTCATCGTCGGCCATGGTAGGGTACGAATCCAGGAACTAAAAGGAGGCTCAAAAGCTTTCTGAAAGTCAAGGTAAACAACGTGTAATAGTGGAAATAACTATAAAATAATGTTTGTCAGTGAGGATAAGATAGGAAAGTTTTTTAGCACAGAGGTTTAGAGATGTAATGTTTGTGGTTTTGTGTTTGCACCCCTTTGGGACTCTGTGAACATGGAAGTGCTTCTTTGTTATTGTCTTGTGAGCTGGCAAAGGCTACTATTTCATTTCCTTGCATTGTTAAGATGAGAACTGCACTTGGTTGACATTCTAGGTCTCCCCGGCGACACAGATCCAGCTCTTCTTCGCCTTCCCGACAAAAAGATGAAGAAAAAAAAATCAAAGACTCCAAAGGCAAAGAGCGCCAGATCACAGGTAATGAAACTGAACTTTGTGGTTTTGCAAGCCTGGCTGAATAACATGTTGATTCAATGCCCCTTGTCAATGCCAATTTTCTCTACTTGTGGTCTGGGTTATTTGTGAGAGGGGGTATTAATGTGAGCATGAACCAATCTTTAGGCAAGGAATTTGACATGATGACTTCTGGTTCTATAGGCAGCATATAGCAAATGTACCTGAGAAGAGTCAATGAATAGTATGCTGGATTTGAGTCTGAGGGCCTTTCCATGTGATTACTTTGTTCGCACAATGTTGATATGATTCCTATTTCTTGAACAACTTCTCCCAATGTAGCATAGCTATTGCCAAGAAATACCCGCATTTGTCAGGCAATGTTTTATAATAGATTGATTTCCCTCAAAACACAGTGGGGTTGGTTTTATGCCATGACAAGTTGGTAGAGGTTGGTTTGGAATGTAAATGTATAGCAACCCTACTCATCACAAAAGCTTCCTTAGAATTTCATATGGTTTCAGAGAATGAAAAGTACAAACAAATGTAGTATCTCACCAGACCCATTATGTACAGGGAAGTTACAGCTTTAATTCCCAGAACATATAAGGCAACCTTGGAGAAACCAAATAATGCCAAGAGCATTATGGCTTTTTGCAGTTATTGATCCTGACTTCTCTCTGTTTATTTATTTGTTTGATTTATACCCCACCCTCCCCACCAGGCCAGGCTCAGGGCAGCTTACATAAAATTAGACAAGTAAAACAACAATTATAAATATAACCATGAAAACAAGATTTAAAGTGCTAGTTATCAACTTATATGACAATGGCTAGGTAGTAATAGCAGCAGGCATACTAAAAAATATAGTCAGCAGTTGTTATTACAATTTGGCGAAGCACAGGCTATTGATGGTGGCATTGGGCACAGGGTTTTAGTTGTTGGATGCAGCTCCTTAACTAAAGGCCTGGTGGAAGAGCTCCGTCTTACAGGCCCTGCAGAACTGTAAGAGGTCCCACAGGGCTCTGGTATCTTCCGGGAGCTCGTTCCACCAGCACGGAGCCTCCACTGAAAAGGCCCTGGCTGCTGCTAGCCTGGCATCTTTAGGACCTGGAAGGGCCGGACCTGGGAGGGCCAGACGATTTTGAGACCCCGACCGTAGTGCTCTCTGGGGAACATGCAGGGAAACGCAGTCCCTCAGGTATGTAGGCCCCTGGCCATAAAGGGCTTTAAAGATAAGCACCAGCACCTTGAAGCAAATCCGGTACGCTATAGGCAGCCAGTGCAATTCTTTTAGCGCAGGCTAAATGTGCTCCCACATGGAGAGACCTAATAACAGGATTCTGCACCAGCTGAAGCTTCCAGATTTGGGACAAGAGCAGCCCCATTTAGAGAGCATTACAGTAGTCCAATCTCGAGGTGACCATTGCGTGGATCACTGTCGCCAAGTCATTGCACTCGAGGACGGGAACCAACTGCCTAATCAGCCAAAGCTGATAAAAGGCTTAGCAGTGGCTGCTACCTGGGCTTCCATCGTTAAGGAGGCATCCAAGAGCACTCCCAATCTCCTAACCTTTGGCGCTGGCACCAACAGCACCCTGTCAAAGGTTGGGAGTGAGATCCCTAACCCCGGATCACCCCTACTCAGGCACAGGCCCTCCGTCTTCGTTGGATTCAATTTCTAAGCCAACTAGCCACGGCCTGTAATGCTAGGTCCAGATCTGCCAGACTAGAGTCGGACCAGCCGCCCAACAACAGGTAGAGCTGGGTGTCATCCGCCTACTGGTGATACCCCAGCCCATGCCTCTGGGCAAGGGGGCGCACGTAGATGTTAAATAAGGCATAAGCAGTAACAGCCTTCTAGTTGCTTTTTTTTTTTTTTTTACTTTGACAAGCCTTTATTGGCATACGTATATACATCCAATAGGAGATCAGATTAAATATAGATCAGAAAATACAAATCCATATAGGGTAAAATTGGAGCTACGGTGCAGAAAAACAGCATTAAAGCAGAAAAACCAATGGTTACTTATCAGAACGTATAGCCATAGCACTAAGAAGAAACCTTGCTACTATTTTGATTATTTCCGTATCTTGATTATCAAGCAAAAACAGAACCTTAAAATCATCAGGAATTTCTGAGAATTGAGCTAATATAGGATACAGAAGATCCTGGCGGGGCACCAGATAAAAGGGACATTGAAGGAGAACATGGGGGACAGTTTCAACACAGTCCTTCTTACAAGGACAACACCTGCTGGAGTAGGGGATCCCCTGGAATCTGCCAGAGCGAAGAGCAGAAGGAAGGACATTAAATCTGGCCAAGGAGATGGCTCTGCGCAAATTTGGAGCTATAAGTTGATAAAGATATACAGCTGGAAGATTTGCATTTGGAACAATCCCTAAATTTAGGGGAGAACAGGTTCTGTTGGCCAAGCTATAGAGAGTTTGCAATTCTGAGCCCAATAACTAGATTTTAGTTTTTAAAAAGCCTCAGGCTCAGAAAGGAAGGATAGAGATTCTAAGGGTAAACCTTCTAGTTGCATTCTGTTTTCTTTATCTGTTGGTTGTATTATTCTTTCTAGAAGAAGATCTGGAGGGAAAAACAGAGGAAGAAATAGAAATGATGAAAACAATGGGCTTCTCAACCTTTGACACAACAAAGGTATGTCCTTATCCTTTGTTCTTAACTGCAAGGCGGTG